TGCCATCCTGCCTGCTAGAGCCGCCTCTGCTCGTGATGACTCATCCCCTGTTGAGGGTAACTACTCTGACGATACTAAATTAGTCACAGCCAGTGAGTTCACTGGCAACTGCAACCTACATTTCCTAACCTCTACGAGCTTCCTAGTTGTACTTCACCTTGCTCCTCTCATTTACTATCAGTCCCTGAGCAGACTATTGGGCTCATTTCTCACAGGACATTGTTGACTAACTTGTTGACTCTCCAGGGAGGAGTGTTTATCTGCTGACTAACTTCCAACTCAATTAGACCTCCTAAAAGATGTGAGCAATAACTCAGAGGTGAACAAAAAGTGCAGTTGCGACCCCAAGCCTGGAATTGTTAAGTCCTCTTTCAAGTACTGACAGGCTGATGAGACTTTCAGACCCTGTGTTCTGATGTTGGGTTGTGTTCTTGTATTCATAATGTGACCAGGAGGGTGCTTACTGGTCCCCCTGTGAGATTGCACTGGTGCTTGTCACCATACAGGTGCCTGTGAGGGGATCCCCCTAAAAGGTCTCCCTTTACTCTGTCTTTGAGCTAGGAAGGCTATTACGAGGCCACTGAGAAGCACCCAGATTTACACCAAGGGGCTGAGGGCATCTTGGGACACGTGTCGATCCCCATCGCCCTCCCTGAGCATCTTCTTGCAGTCATTGATGAACCTGGGTGAGATTTTCAGGACAGCAGGGCTGAATCTGGGTTAGAAATGTGAGTGCAGGTGGGATGGAATCTTTCCTAAAATTTGGTCCTGTTGTCATAATTTTGGCATGCTAGAATGTGCAATAACCCTTAAGTGCCGCAGAGAGCTGATCTGCATTGCTGTCATCTGAGTTAGGGCAGACAGCTTTACTTTCCAGACTCCTTTAAGTTTGTATACTGGCTTAATAACAACAAATAACATATTTGCAGCCAGGTTTTTAAACAATATCCCTAACAAACGCTGACTGCTTTGCTAGGGAAAGCAAACAGGAAGACTCAGGTTGTTGGCTTTGCAAACACGAGGCAGTCATAATATGAGGGTCATTTATTTTTTCAAGTCCCTGTTTGAGACCTTGTAACATTAAGCTGTTATGGGAAAAACCAAACAATTTATTTCATGGCAGCAGAGTTCAAAACCATTTGAGTAGGATGTACTAATAGTTTAAACCCAGCTAAAAGTTTGTTCACCCTTATATTGGGCTTGCAGTGAAGGATAAAGGGACTAGAGAAATATTGATAGGAGAGAGGTTGGGCTGAGTCAGCATTTTTAGAAGATGTGCTACATAAAGCCACGCTGAAGAGCCTGAATAAACATGATTTGATTTCAGAAATGCTCAGATCAATACAAATCTAGTTCCATTTTTCCAGTTTTGGGCCAAGATTCGTAACGCTGGATTGTTAAACCCTGTAGAGTTTGGGGGGCTGTTTAGGCATGGACAAGGGTAGGACCTTGGTTCTACTCCTGCTTTTACAGCCACAGCTGAGAAGAAATGTACTGTTTGAAGCAGGCAAACTGGTCACTCGGTACCAAACTCTCTTCTGCTGCTTTTCCCAGGTGAACATAGACTTCCAGACACGGGAGCTGACAAGAAGAAATATGCAGGAGCCTTCCCTCTCTTGCTTTGACCAAGCTCAGGGGAAGGTGCACAGCCTGATGGAGAAAGACTCTTACCCCAGGTTCCTGAGATCCAAAATTTACACAGACCTGCTGTCTCAAACCCAGAGGAGGCTCAGCTAGAGCAGCGATGGGGCCCTCAGAAACCATGTGCTTCCCACAACAGCCAAAACCCATCTCTAAATGTGAAACTTTCTTGGTGTTAAAAGCAGTGGGAAAGAAAAAAGAGGGAGAAGGGCAAGAAGAGGCTTCCAGAGTGTCATCCAGATGTGGTATTAAGACTCTGAGTTTCTGTGCTTTTTTTGGTTAGCAGTAGCATCCTGCAGTTGTTACCTCTCTCTAGCACAAACCCATAGTCCTCTCTAGTCCCGGGGTCATCTGTGGGGAAGGTAGGTTTCCTTTAAAATTACTACATTGGTTTGTGGGTAAATAACACCAGTGCACCTTTCCATCCTTCCAGACATCTCCCTGGCTTTCACCTCTCCCCTGGGTTTGGAGGGGCCCTCAGGGCAGTTCTGAAACTTGTGAAGTCAAGTCCAGTCCAAAGCATCATCTCCTACACTGGCTGCTGGGGTCTGGATCCAGAGACTGAGAAGATGGAGAGAGGGGAGGGAGAGAGAAGGCAAAGGCCCATGATTCATGCTGCTTCCCAGAGTGGAAACCATCAGTGAACTCAGCTCACCTTTCCATTTTGATTGCACACCTTATGGCACCAGTTGCTACCCTGTCACAGCCCCTTATCTTCCAAGGATGGAGATGAAGTGTTACTTTCCATATGACTGCCGAGGAGCCAGGTTTTTCTCACGATAAAGATAATCCCAAAAGCTCTTGCTGGACCTGGTCAGACGAGTCTTCTAGTGCGAATGATTATTTTTCATTAATATTATTTATTTGTTCTGTAGTTCAGCCTCAGGATCCCAGTCATCATTCAGGCTTCGTTGTGCTAGGCACCATACCAAAACCCAGCACAAAGAGACTCCTGGCCACCAGAGACATTAACAGGCTTGGTGGCTTCTCGGGAACAAGCTGCCAGCTGTCAGAAAAGAGTCGAGAAAAGGAATGTCCCATCTTCCCCATGCTGAGATGTAAGAAGAGCACAAGACCTGCCTGCTAGGGCAGATAGCATTTCTCATGTCGTGCTTGACCAGGCCACGGCAGGGAGAGGTAACATGAAAAACCACAATTATATCTTTGTTATTTACTGATTATTGGCTGTTCTTGTTACCTACCGATTGTCCACTGTGGGTTCAACTCCATGTAAAGAACTACTGAAGACCAGACCCTGCTGCGGGGTGCTTGCTTAAAAACAGGACACAGGGAAGCATGCAGTGAGCAGGACGAGCGTCCGGGTGTGAAGTGGTGTGTGTTGGCCACTTTGGGGTTTTTTTGGGGTTTTTTTTTTTAAAGTTTTGAAGGCCTAAAATGTTCTTTGGCCCTATTCCCATAGCCTGGATAGTCACCTGCAGAAGAAGACTCTGCAGATGGCAGTTTTGTAGCATCTCCTCTGCGCTGTGATACTTACAATCTGAAGGCCCCATTTCTATGGCATTGCTGATCCAGATTATCATCTGTTGGATTCTTGCAATACTTTCTAGTGGAAAAGCAGACAGCCTGTCCATGGATTTGAGTCTACACACCAGAGGTCTATTTTCTTAGTTTTATGAAGGCCTGGAAAATGACCCCATGGGTCTTCTCCTTCTCTCAATCATCCACAGATCAGAGGCTGTAAACCTCTGCTCTATTTTAGGGTGGTGGGTAGGTTTGATGTATCAGAAAGCTGGTGATAAATATTCAGTGTAATGTGGTGTAAGCCAGGTAGAATGAATTCTAAAGCTAAGCATAACGTGTTTGGAATGAGATACAAAAAGCCTGCTTTTGGATATCAAAAGTTTCTGTCTGTGCATTAGGTAGGAAGCAAGTTTTGAGGCTTTTCCTAAGGATGCTGTACAGGACATTAGACAAATAGGTTTAGGATCAAGATAGGGATGGTAAATCCATTTGGTTCATTCTAGAGGTGTATTCCTGTGGTCTCTAAGACACTGAAGTCTAAATATGGTGCAAGTGCAAATTTTATATTCAGCAGGGAAACCTGCTTTTGGTTGGTTCTAGAATTCTCCAGTTCTGTAGGAAAAGAACAGTGAAAGGTGGGCACTGGAAGGTGCCCCAGATTAATCCAAGGGGTCTACATCATGCAGTGGCTCAACTAGACATGAGCATAGCTGTTCATGGGCCCATAGCTTTATGGCAAACGAAGTACCTGGCAAAGAAGGTCTAGTGGGACAGGTCTCTGGGCAAACTTGTGTGATGCTCTGGAAGGAGTAGAAGACTATATAGAGTCATGCATGCAGTGGCTGTCCCTGGTGGTATTTGGGCTATACCAAGTGGAAGAGAGTCACATTGCCTGCACAGCTCCCCCCTGCTGCAGGTGAAAGGGAAGGAGGAGGGCAAATCATCCCATGTTGCGGTGAAACACTCTCAATGCTTGACCTGCAAGGGAGGATGCAAAGCCACTGGCTGTGAGGAGGGACTGGAAGAACTCTCCTTTCCAAGGAACTCTGTATCTACTACCTGTGGAACACAGGATGGACTGGGATCTCTCAGGGGCACAGGATGCTTTGGCTGAAATAGTTCCCCTTGAGATGGCCTGTGGTGCCAGTTGTACCCAGTATCCCTGCAACTACAAAATGGTTCAGTGACTGGTAATCCAACTGCTGCGACGCGGCAGCTCAGCTTCTCAACGCTGTGATGTCAAACAAGTTGTGTGGCAAGGGATGAAGGGAGACCACCTTGTCTAGCCCTGCTGTCCTCCCTTTCAGCCTCCTCTTGACCACACTTGTAAAAAGCATCTCAGTGTTGCCCTGGATGAGGCAGACAGCACCAGCAGGCTTACACAGCTGTCGCTTTTAAAGAGAAGGCAGAAGGCCATGTTAACTGCATTGTGGTATTTATCTTAAAGCCACCAAGATATCTTCTGAGTGGGCTCGGATGATGCTGACCAGTAGTTCCAGCTGATGCATCCCAGCCAGGGCTTTCTAGCACAGTGCTCTGCAGGCACCCATGGCTGTGAGGGTCACAGAGACAACCAGGCAATGAGGAAACAGCAGAACCAAGATGATTTTGTCATGGAATGAGGAACAGAAACTCAGAAGTGAGGACAATTCCCAGGCTTCCCTGATGGCTACAAAGGCTGGTCCTCTTCTGAGTATGACTCCAGGAAGCCCAGGAGGTAACATTTCTTAGCAAGCTCCTCCAGCATCAGTGCTGACATCCTTTCACTTCATGTCAAAACTCATGGAAAACCTTCAAGGTAGCCAACACCCTGTAAAAACCAAGCTCCCATCTCTCCTCCATCAACCTGGAGGGAATCACTTTGAACAGGCACACTCAGACATGGCATTGCTGCGGTTGTGACAGCAACTGTATTCATGCAGGCTGATGGAGGAGAAGTGTTTTGCCCATTAAATTGGTGCCATGGGTAATATCCTTCAAGGGAAACATCCTAGAGCACAGAGCGGAGCAAAAGCATTGTCTGAGGCATGCGAGTCTATCATGGTTATTTTTGTTGCTACTCTTACAGTTTGTCTCTCTTGCAGGAAAGCAGACTAGTTATTTAAAGTAATTTTTATTTTTTTTTAAACAAGAAATTGGCAACAGCTGCTTCTTTTATGCCAAATGTCAGTCTGAAGTGAATGAAAATAGGCAGCTTATAGCTCTTCCCCTTAAACCAGGGGCTGATTAAGGAAATAATGACTGAGCCAAAGCTTTGGAAAGCACTGAGTGATGACTAATCCCCAACAAGGACAAATACCCTATCTTTGATTCATCTCTTACTGATATGAAAGGGATATTCACAAGTTACAAACTCCATTTCCCCTCTCCACAGGCACACACCTCCAAAATTTTCCTCCTGTTTCAAGTAATGTCAGAGTGTGCCAACACATGAATAGAAGGGGGGAAAAAAAAACCCCAAAACTCTTTCTCTCAGCTCTTTTTATTCTGTATGTTTGCTGGCACGCATCCAGTCAGCTCCCAAGTCCTTTGACAGCAAAAGGGAAGAAGAGTTTAGAAATTGCCTTTCCCTTTTCTAAAAGCTTCAAGTGTTGTTAACTCCAGAAGCAGATGCAGAACTCCAGTCTGTTCTGGGTTTTTTTCTCCTGCTTTGGCCCATCAGCCAGGTTTAGGATGATTTCTGACACTTTTACTGGATTTATTAATGTACCCATGGGTCACTGCCCTCTGCTCTGGGAAGGTGTGAAGGGCAAAGTTCCACTAGCCCAGGCAGGGGAGGGAAATGGGGGTGTGTGTCTGGGGGTGTGGGTGGGTGAGAGTGCATGTGAATTCACGTGTATGTTATGTAGTGTCTCCTACTAGAGGACCTTTTTCTGAGACATAGATGTGCATGTTAAAATAGGAGAATTAGGCATAAATGACATAAAATGTGATTTTTAGCCAGTGTTGTGTTTGCCTCGTGTGTAAGTCTGACTAGTAATAAGAGATGTTAAACTCTGCTAGGCTTCCAGTTACCCATAAGAGCACATATATCAAACTGAACTAAACGTTCACTGATAGACACAAAACCAAAATGTTTACAGCATTCAGAGCAATAGCAAAGCATACCTCATGCCAGTCCTGGAGTGCCTCTCACCCGCCAGTGCAAGCTCTTCCTTCCCTGGGGGCCTCTTGCTTCTCCCTCCAAACCCCTCTCTCCTTCTCCGTCCTGTTCTTGTGGTCTTCCCTCCTCCTCCTCCTTACCATTTCCTCCATGAAGCACTCCTGTCCATGCCAAGCTTCCTCTCCACCAGCACTGCTTGCCCCCATATATCTGAGCCTGGGTCACCTCCTCCCATGCCCTCCTGTCTGCATACCCTGCAACCCCATCCACCCCTCCTCTCCTCTTCCCCTTTTACTTCCCCAGACACTTGTCTCTGGACTTTCCATCTCTCTCCTACATGCCTCCTACTGTCACTATAAAACTCCTAGTAGCTATTCCTTGCTCATTGTATAAGAAGAAAAAGCTTCACATCATAATTTCTGCATTATCTTTCATTCCTGGGGCTGCTGCAGTTGTTGTCTTCCTTGGCACTGTGTTTTCTCTGGCATCCAAGCATTATATCACAAAACTG